AACCTGGGAAGGATGCTTGCTGGGCTTACAGACATCCTCAGGCATTATGTGTGKTCATTCAATAAGCAAATGCCCTGGCTTAGCATGTGGAGTCCAAAAAGCCACACATGGAGATTGTCCAGTGCTGAGGACATCTGAAGCCTGACACGTGACAGAAGTACACGTGTGGCAACCAAAGAGGTGTCACCATCTTCACCGACACTCAGTCCCCTCTGAGCTGGCATTGTTGTATCTCACAGTAGGGTCCTCTGCCCARCCTGCACAGTGCAGGAGAGCCTGCTCCCAAATGCTGCTCGAGCTGCTCCTCACTTCTGCTTGATGCCATTGGGAGAGTGATCATGGAGCTCCAGGGCTATGGCCACTGGTATGGCTGGATTATAAATGGAAGCTTTGTTTGGAGCTTTCTGTAACAAAATACGGCRCTGTTGGTGCACACAGAGTAGATAGGGTTTCACTGCCCACTTAAGAAAATGAGGGCAAAGGGTGATTAAATATTAAGTGGGRTGCAAGATCTCAGCCGATGCAGTTCATCTGGTAACCTGAGATGGGCTGGAGGTAAATGTGGCTTCCTGAGATACCTGAGAGGATACTACAGCAACCCATCCTGGCCAGCAAGAGGAGCTTTGGGGTTCCTCCATTAGTTTCCAGTGCTGAGAGMCCTCGGGGGTGACATGTGTGGCCATGGAGAGAGACCAAGATGATTGGTCCAGGATCCTTGGAATATCTGTATCCTTTTCTGTTTAGCTTTCTACCTCTCCTGTAAATCAAGCATCACTTCTGGTGGCAGTAGATTGTCAAGCAGACTATACTGACATCAAGCAGAAGATATTAATGAAAAAAAAACCCAGAAAAAATATTTGTGATGACCACCACACCATACCCCCAGGATAAGCCATGTCCTAAAGCCTCTCCTTCAAGCAAAACTACTGCCAATAATAAAGTTATTGACCCTCCTTAYACTRCAGAGCAAGACTTCTGAAAGGCAGCTTGTACTGTCTGYGTGTACTGTGTGTGTGTCTGTGTGCACACACATGCTCATGGCCCCCTCCATGCACATGGATACAGAGATACAGACAGCTCCATCCACAGCAGCACCATTTGCAGTGTTGTTCTCTGCCAAGCTCATTTGGGCATTAGCAATGGGCAGCATTGAGTTACTTCCTCACCACTCCCGTTAGCAGTTGGCTTTCCTGAGGGGGATTCACACCTTGGCTGCTGCTACCTGSTCAGGTGCAAATGCTGCAAGGGCTCCTGCTCCTTCTCCACTCCCTCGCTCCCTGGATGCATTGAGGCTCTTTCCTTTCTGAGACCCTTAGGCCAACATTTTACAGCTCTTCTGCTGATGTTAACTTCCAAAATCCCTCTCATCCCATACCCCCTTGGAAAGACTTAAAGATATTTTTTCTGATATAAGCTGTGCCAAAGCTTGGTTCCTTTATGAAGACAAACTGGCAGTGGAAACACTGACAGCTATACAGAGAAATATTGTATTGCTTGAAGAACTTTATTTAGATTGCTTCATTGTGGGGAGAGTTGTTTGTTGGTTGGGTTTGGTTTTTTTTTTCACTTTGGATGGTGCTAAAGACGCCATAAAATTAGCTCCAGTATTATTCCAGTGATTTGTACACTTCATGTTCATGTGCCTTCAAAATTAAAAGAAATCATGATAAAACTAAGCAAATAAATAGTCTTGAGGAGGACTAATCCCTTTCCTCCATGCTCCCAGCAGCTCTCAAAGCCAGCGGGGATCCCAGGAGGGCAGGAACAGCAGAGCCTGGGCTGAGCGGCGCGGAGGATCCTTGGGAAGGCTTTGTTGCTCTGCCATAGGGATATTAATGTTTCTGGCCAGCTGACAGCATGTGTGGTGAGCCTAAACATTTGGCTCCAGCAGAGTTGCAGACAAGGGAGGCGAGTTGTGCACAAGATAAAAAGGGTCCTTGCGGCAGCACGGGCTGTGTCCAGCGGCTGTGAGCGGGGTCTGCTGCCAGGGCCGCAGCAYCCTCRGGGAAAAGCGGGCATGGGCAGAGGSAGATGCAGCCATCCGGGTTTTGCAGTGGAGCAAGCACTTGCTTGATGCTTCTGCAGCCTGCTGGGGTCCTGGGAGGGTTGAGAAACAGTGGTAATGTACCATGGGGGCACATTTAGGGGCTGAGGAAAGCGCTCAGAAGCAGTATGGAAGATGCTGGCAGCACCACTTTTGATCGTGGTGTGTTTTGCATCAATATAGCACCCGTTCTGCAGGGAATGGGGGGATAAGTGGGTAAACAGCACCCAGGCCTCTGCTTTCCAGCTCTTTCCAAGCAGGCCAGCTGCCCACACTGATTCAGGCTTAATTCATGTTCTGGTTCATTACAATAATCTTTTAAAGCTGGAGCCTTACCCTATATGTCCTCAGCCACAGCAGTATCCCTGTGCTGCTGCTTGGGGCCAATGAGCCTTTGGGCTCTTACCTTCCTGGAGGGCCAAGCAAGGGAATTTTGCATTTTTGCAGTCTTTAATTAAAATAAACTAAAAATAACTTTTTTAGTATTTCAAAAATACCTTGAGGCCTTAGGCAGCCTGGGGAAAAGRGGTGCAAGGTGCTGTTATGCCCAGGGGTGTTACAAACCTCTCCGACTGCCTGGTGGTGCTGCAGGGTGGGTGTTGCATGGTGGTGGCTGCTCTCCTTCAGCTGCCACACGTGCTCGTGCATGTGTGTGAAGTGGACTAACTTGGCTGTTCCTTCTTCTGAATGTTCAGCATAAGCAGGGAATAATAAAATGCAATTTTTCCACAGGGACCAGAGGAAACAAATTACTGCCCGGGTGCAGCTGAGGGCAGAGTCTGGCGCATTATTTTCTGTGTAATAACTCCCATGAGGCCTTATAGAAATCCAGCTTTTTTTTTTTTTTTTTTTTTTCTTTCTCATTTTTTCTACTTCCTTAAACTTTCCAAAATACTCTGCTGTAGCATATTTTCCTCCGTCACATGTGTTAGTGAGGAGAGAAAAGGTTAAATTCTCCTTTCGTACTATAATGTAATTCATTTCCTGTTTTTCACAACTGTCTAGACACAGATCTAACGAGCATTAACCCTGAATCCCACCATTGGGTTAAAAATAGAGGCTTTAAATATAAAAGTGTGTTGTAAGAGTGAGATTGTAGGTTTCTACCTACCACCARGAGACAGCACTTTTAAATGAGAACCATTTAATTAGCTGTAAGTAACAAAAAAAAAAAAAAATTACTTCAGTTTCAGAGGTTTAAAAAGGCTCCTGGTTGCTTTATATATACYAGCAGCAACACAGGCCCTGCTGAGTTGTGGCACGGACAGGTTSATTCCCCCTCACGAGTTATATTTGTCTGGATTTACACCTCCAGCTATATTAAAAAAAAGCAAGAATAAATTCCACTTCAGTCGAAGAGCTATAAAAAGATTGGGAGAAAGTAATTTAAGAGAGAACTCGTGTTGAAAACCATGGTCARCTTCTGATGGGAGAATCGTGGACAAAACGTGCCCCAGGCCCAGCTGAGGAGGGTGCCCCAAACCCCAAGGGAAAAAGGGATGTCTGTGGTACCAAGAGGCAGCTTGTGCTGGGAAGGCAAGGCCACAGAGTGTTGGGTCACAGCCCTGGAATTATTGCAGTCATGAGCAGACCCAGAGGGGCTCTCMTCAGCTTAGGCTGGATCACGGCTGGGCTGCAGGCTGCCCCCAGGTTAAGCCAGGCAATTCCCCCCCGTGGGTGTGCAGCCTCCTCTGACACTTCCCGCCAGCTGGGCTGCCACACCAGAGTGGGAGGAAGGAGAGAAAGAGATTTCTGGCTTGGAACATGAGTTAAACCCCTCACAAAAGTGAGAGTTTGCCTGTAGAGGTAAAGCAAGAGAAAACCAAAACTGTAGCCCACCACAGCTTGGCACAGGGCGCAGRCAGGGAGTGAGGCAGCTTCTTGGCTGACAGTTTATTACACACACCTTTCACATCAAGTATTACCCACAGAAACATCATATTTTATGTGCTTTAAGAATGAAAGTAAATGCTGGTAAGAATTARCTTAACCCAATGCTCAAAAGCCTTGTTAAAATAAGTCAGAATTCCTGGTGTGCTGTGACGAAGAGGAACTYGCATTTCCTGCGCTGACTGMATTTCTCTGTCTKCGAACAYAAATCCCATGGGGTGGTTTGTTTAYTTATCCTGTGAGGCTGGGAGTGGGCGTCTTTCCTGTCCCACCACCCACTTGCAGCCATTGCATGAAAGCAGCAGCACCTTTGGGAGCTCTGGGATGGACCTGGCACCTCAGCTGCAAACCTGTGGGTGCTGTTGTCTGCATTCAAGGTCTATACTGACCAGGACTGAAATGATCCAAGGGAAACATATAAAAAAGACATTTGTTTGTTTTCAACTAAAAAGTGTAGTATATTATGCATCAAGAATGGTGAGGGGTGAACTGGTGTCCTTCCAGCTTAGGGAAGGCCTTTGAACCCACATGAGTTATTTATAGAGCMTTTTAGAAAACAGTTCCTTCCAATTTTTGCTATTTTGATCACAGTAACAGCTCAGGTTTTGTCAAAAATAAACCAATCCCCTACATGGCTTACTGGGGTTCACCCTTGTAAAACAGAGAGGCGGAAAAGGGAAAAGTGAGGTAGAGTCATTTTCATATTCATTATGTAAGAGGCTTTCAAAATGCTTTTTGATCAAACTGTATTTCTTTTATTAGGCTCTGAGACAGATAGTGAGGGCTCTCCAAGGACTRTACAGGATGACCTGTTAGCACTGATCAAAGCAGGTCTGATCCATGTTTCAGGATACCTCTCCCTCTATTCCTGAGTGCGCTTAAAAGGGTGGAGGTAGTAGCAGCAATAACATGAATGTGTAACCCAACATACTCCTAAAAGATCCAGTACTCCCTTTAAAGAATTTTGTCTTTGAACATTTAGTCTATTAAAATAAGTAGAATTTACTATTTTCAAAAAAGTTTGAGAAAGAATGTGTCTTAACAACRTCCTTCTCTTGTTTAAAAGGCTCTGGTGATCTTGTCCCATCCTATGTTTCCWGAGACTTGTGTCTGCGGGATGCAACTCTCTGTAACTGTCAATCCAAGTCACAGCATAACTACAGAAAGACTCAGGAAACCACTCAAACATATTTCTTTAAATGAAACATCAGTTTAAATGAAATTGAAAGCAGAACATCATTTGTGCTTATTTCCATAGCTGGCATAGCTTTCATGAGGCAAGTAATCCTATTTTACCATGATAACTTCTCCTATTCCAACCAGAGGCACATTTCATTTGTCTTCTCAACTGCTTTTCCCCAATTTATTAGGAGTTGCTTCAGTGGGCTTTCATTCCCTCTGAGCAGGAGCCTGGGTCACACTCTTTGCAGTCTTGACATTAACAAGATGCAATTGTCCCATCTCCCCCAACCAATTAAAAAATAAAAATCAGTCAGGTAGTATGTCTAAAAAAAGCCCAGTATTTYGTAAGCCACAAGTTGGAGTTGAGAGTCTTAGATCAGTGTGGGCACTGGTGGTCTCTTTTGGGTCAACAGTCACTCCTCTGCTTTGGACAAGTACAGATTCATGAGCATAAGCTCCATGTGAACACTGTTCCTGTTAGAAGTGAGAGCTTATTYCCCTTTGAGATATGATGAAGCAACAGCTCTATCTGGGATCTTCTACTGCGACAACGAGCCAAGTTCTGGATGTTCCTGCAGAAGAGTATTTGCTTACAGTCATCAGAAGCTCAAGGCTGATAAGGTCACCACCTTGGAAGCAATGAGACAACCTACTCTGTGGTTCACATTGTTTGAACATTTATTGCAATTCAGTGTCAAAAATGTTTTACAAAAATACATTACTGTCTGCACAGAACAGCTGTAAAAATCAGTTGAACATGCAAGGGAAGAGGAAAAAAGTGTGCAAATTTATAATGGAAGGATTTTAACCACACAATAATATTAAACAGAAGTCTTATATAAGGGATGYCTTTCACTTCATATCATCTCTAGTTACAACTTCAAGGAAAAATAAAACAGAACACAGTCTCTCTTCCATATATAAGTAGGTATTTATAATTACTGTCGATTAATTCCTAAAGATGAGCATATTGCTATTTCAAATTAMAATGTTCTCTTGGTAGCTGACATGTTAGCATTCTGTGCAGCACAGGATGGCTAAAGAAAGGCAAATTCCACCCTCAGTTGCCCTCCCAGGAGGAGAAGCAGCAACACTTGGTCAATAGAGGGGGAATTTCTCTGGTGTTAAGGGAATTCATATACTAGAGATTGCACRTGTCAAGGACAAGATGGATTTGTTCTCCCTGCGGCCAGATCCTGCAAAGCTGATTTGCTACCAACAAAACCCTGRAGGAAGACATGGATGGCAAAGACTCAGAGCTCGGCAGCCACACGCTGACAGCTGTGYGAATGGCTGACCACGGCATCAGAGCCTGAAACCGGCACACAACCAATGGGCTGAGAGAAGCAGCACGAGCAGGACACCAGAGTCCCAAACCTGGAAGGAGGGAGTGAGTCTGCACCAGCCTGATCAGCCATCAGCTCCACAGGGTCTAGGCTTGTGCAAACAAGCCAGCTACAAAGAGGGGYATTTTAATTTAAAGCTATGTCTTTTTGGCAAGGTGCTGACCTAAGGGGAAGCTATGCAACATGTTTGTAAGGACAGCTGCAGAGGACAATGCTGGTTTGCTGTACCACGCAGGAGATCAGTGTGAAAAACACATCTGATTTGTTCGCTACACAACAAGATTGAAATGTTCCTGCTTTAAATGAAATTTCAGCAACTAAGGGCCAAGGAAKTTTCTGGGCAGGAAAAGCTGGTTTAATACCTGTGTATTTTCTAGAAGGTGACAGCTTCACAAAAGTTATTGAAGTCAAACAAAAATGGGAATACAAACAGTTCAAAACCTGGGCAAAGAAAAATAATATAAAATATATTCCCATATACAGAAAGTGGCAGGGTGCAATTAAATGTTTACATACAAAGCAATGTCTTCAGAGCAATACACATTTTCCTAAGCACTTGACATAATAAAGGATCTAGAAACTCCCACAGCTGAAAAAAAAGAAACTCAAAAAAACATAAGAGGAGGTACACACACTTTATGATCAAACYTCGGCATACCATAGTTAGCATAAATGGCTTAAGGTATGTACAGCTGAAATTGTGCCTCTTGAAATGGCCACCACATCAAAAMCTCTGGCCTCTTCTAGAAAGCTGAAACAGAGATCTCTGGGATCTCTCCCTTCCTAAGCCTCCTCCCTTGCATGGATCTATTTTTCCTCTTCACAGCACCAAGTTCTATGCTGTTGCACTAATTATTATATCCTCTAAAGACAACGAGATTTCCCTGGATATGCTGGCAAAGGAAAACCCCAAAGAGAGGAAAAACTCTCCTTTCCTAGTATACAAACTGATGCATATCTAATGGWAATGCATCAACTAACTGGAAGGTGAAATGTCATTTGAAAAGAACATTCTATTTCCAAAATACAAGCAAAAGTCTGTTTTCCCCTTCACAACAACTTTGCCACAATTGTCTTAAAATAAAGAGGGCTTTTTTTGCCTGAGAGCAGCCTTAAAACCATCCTGTCTGGAAGCCCCGATATCACTGTCAGTTTTGTTACTCTGCCATCCTCAGCCAAGCAGATGCCTTTGCACCACTAAAATACTGATTCCTTTGTTTAGAAATGGTTAAAGTAAGGTATTTGGATGCAACAGCATTTTGTTTTTAATACAAACCAAGAGGATTGAATTCACTACAACATCTCCCTGTACCAGCCACTCAAAAAACAATGAGCCTCCAGAGAGACCAAGGCCATCTTTGACAATTGCTGCAGCAGGAGGGTAATGACTGTGGCAGTAACTGAATAAGGCTTATTCTGTTTCTTTTTGTTTAGTCTGTTTTGTTCTGTGCAGTAGTTGCTCAGTTTTCTGCTAGTTTGGATGCTGACAGCAATATCCCAAGACCTCACACAAGCAACAGACAAGTGTCTATGTATAACAAATCATCTTGAGCACTTTGGCCCTTATGGTGCTAAGAAATTAAAAACATAGTRATTGAAGTAAGTTTTATAAATAGGAGCCTCAGTTGCACATTAAATCTGTTGTCAGTATGACCCATGCTCTCTGGGCAGAAGAGGCCAGTGAAGGGTTGACAGAGATGATGGCTGTAGCCATGACATTTCCAAATCGCAGCTCAACATTGAAAATTTCTATCTTCTTATGCAAGGAATGCAGCAGGCCAAATGCAAATCTGAGCTTAAAATTCACTCAGTGTCACAATCTCAGAGAGGGTAAGTGCTAAGCACAGATGCAGAGTAGGCAGAATGTTGCAGCATTTCATAYCAAAATACTGTTGCCACCCCATCACAACAGGTTGGTTCACTGTGGGTGGCAGAGGCAAAACTACGGAACAAACCAACCCCAAGTCAGAGCTGGAAACAGGGTGCCAAGGGGCATAGGGCTTCTCACTGCTGGAAAAAGGAGCTACAGGACTCTTCAAATTCAGCGGCAATGCTTCACTCACTTCACTTGCAAGTTTCTATCCTTAATGTCCTCACTCATGAAGCCAGATTTCAGCCTTGTCTACCCACGGCCATCAACGTGGGAAGGAAAACAGAAACTGGCCTCCTTTACTCACAAACATTCCCCAAACAAGCACAAGTGTATTTTTCCAAGGTAGCAGTTTTTAAATCACTTTCAGTTGACATAAGTATGATCAGCAGGCTTATGCTTTCCACCAGCAGTCGAACTGAAGAATGGGGCATCAACACCATGATAAAGCTTGTTATCCTGTTGGTGTTCTCCCCTCATTTCTGGTGAGTGACAAGCTCTGGACCATGGCTAAGGGTGGCAGAGGCTTAYAGAGCTCTCCAGAGGAGCAAAAACTTGGGATTTGCTGTTAGGCGGCTGGAGAACGGCAATTCTTGTCAGCATTTTCCTTGTTTTCTTCCCCTCTTCCCATTGCTCCCCCTAGAGGCAGGTTTTTTTCCCTTTTCGCATCTCTTCCAAAGGTATGCAAAGTGATTTAGTTTGCAAAAACGCAAATATTGTCATTTTAAAATACAAACAGCTGCAGAAAAGTGTTGAAAGTCAAGTTATAAAAATGTAAAAAAAGGAACAGCATATTTAACAATAATTAACTCAAGTAGTTCTTCCTGAATTGTCCTGAGAACTCCTCTTCCTCACAATTTTTGTACATCGTCACACACAACCCACTGAATATTTACCCTTCYGAGGTATTCTGCTTACATCATGCACAGAGAAAGTGCTATACAGGAAATCTACTGGCAAACAGCAAAAAACTTTCCACTGCAGAGGTTTTCAAATTGCTGTGTATGAGCTGGATTCTTCAAGCTCCACTGTAGAGAAAAGTGAAGCATTGCATGSCACAGAGAACACAGTGAGCCAGACCACAGCCACAGTGAAGTGGCCACTTACTCTGTAGGACTGAAAATTTAGCTCTAGGTTAGGGTTAGAAGATCCCATAAAGCAGCTCAGCACTGGAAGCAGAAGGGATTGGGTCCTTGGATCTTAGCCCCTGGCATGGAGAAAGAACCAAAGATATCAAGTGCCATGTTGGAAATCCCTTGCTTTCCCCAGTCCTGACTACTAAATACTAATCACTCCCTAAGCTCCAGGGCTCTGAAACTRAACATTTGCTGCCAGTTTTCCGTGAATAAAAACCGCATCATTTCACAAGATACAATGGCCCAGTTCTCCTTATATTTTACCAGCTCAAAGATGACTGAATTCACTTGATAGCAGTGGAAATACAGAGCAGTGTATATGCTGGAAAACATGAGAACAGTTCTAATCTCACTTAGGATTTCAACTAGTGCAATTAACCTAGTGAAGCTGATAAGAAATTATCTTGTGCGATTAAATCCAGTCCTTTATTTCCCTATCATAGAACTTCCTCCCTTATAGCTAATGCTCATCCTTGTGGCTTCTCTTTTCCCATTTGCTTAGTCTTTCATAAAACCAACAAATTAAAGGAGGATGGAGTAAAGTCTTAGGTATTTATATGGTGCCTATCATCTAGGCATTCAAGCACTGAGTAGAGCGAGAAAACTAATGTAAAGAGGTAAGCATTAATACAAGAAAAGATGCTTACTATCACAACATTTCCCTTTAAATCATTGTACAAAATACAAAAGTTCACATTGTATACTGGATTTTTGTTTGAAAGGTACTCGATCTATGAGAGGTAGAAAGTGGTATGTTGCGAATCTGTCTCGCAAGTAGGCTAGAGTTCTATCCTAAGTATTTCAGAATGTGTCCTTTTAAAAGCACAAAAGTATTATTAAACTTGTCACAGGGATATTTTTCATAAATATTTTTAAAATGTCATATTTATAAATATGTATGCTAAATAAAACCAGAYGGAGGAACAGTTCAACAGTCCTAGCCTCATATTGCTTTCTCCCTATTAGAAACAAACCAAGAGTTCTCAAAAGGTTGTGGGGCAAATGCATTTTTAACTTCTAAAAACAGAAAATGAAAGTTTTTTTGCCCTGTATCTTGTACTCTGATGATAAAAAAGGGACTTTGTACAACATGCTGTATTTTTACACCAGTCCTATGGAAGTTTGTATTCCTTAAGTGCTTCATGTCAGTGAGCAACTTCACCTTTCATCTCTGAGATCCTCGTTCCTTGACTCAGGAGCTTCRAACAAACATGAATATTTACACTATTTACAAATGGAGTGTCCAAGCTCTGTGACAAAGTGTCCTGTAAGAATCACATAAGCTGCAGTGACCCAAGTTCAGAACCTGAACAAGTTGATAAACTCTTGCGGTGAAAGAGAGGTGGAGCAAGTCTCTGGGTTGTTGGCTGTGCAGGGGTGATCAGTACCCTGGGAAAGGAGAAAACAACTCTAAGTAGAGAGGCTGCAGAAAGGGTACCAAGGCATCAGCAAACTTAACACCGCCCCTCTGCCAGACATCCCATGTGCAAATCAATAGAGCAGAGCCCAAAATAAYAGACAGCTCAGAACTGGGCTTCATATCTTAGAGCAAGTCATKGAAAAAASAATCAGCAAAGATCAATTGATTCTCTTCCCCTCTTCTGAGGGAAGAGAGGCTAGAGCCTACCGTCAGCTAAGAGTTTAACTCTAGAGATCTGCCTTGGATATCATCACACTGGCTAGCAGATTTCTGT